CCTACACATGCAGAACTACTACCTGCTACTGCAGAGGAATGGCTTTGAAGGAACTCACTCTTAAACTGCAAATAGGTAAGTCTTTTTATTTTTTTCTTTTTTAACCTTAAGTCTGATTTAAATCATCGCTCTTATTCTAACTTTGGGCAAATACATTGTTTAAAAAAAAAGAAAAAAGTTTGACTTTGTCTTAAATATCTGCAGTGACAAGTAAAATATTACATTCACAATTTTGGCAAGAATAAGGAGTGAAAATATCACTTTCTGGCTGGAAACATGGGACTATAACTTGGGCTTTGTTGACTTGTAGTGGCTTCAGTGAATGTAATCCGGCCATGGCAGGTTACACTGCATTAGGAAAAACTGAAACATTTATGCTTTAACATATGAGTGTATACATGTCATTCTCAATTTCATATACCCAAGCTAGCTTTTTCTGTTGTCTGCATTTACAAGCAAATACATATTAATTTTCTAATTGTACAGTATGCATAACTCTGAGCACAACACAATCACTCTGGTCCTTATTTTCCATCATTAATCATGCACTGTGTAGATACTAAATTAGATTCAAACTCCAAGCATTGCCTGAAAAACCCTTGTCCCATTTTTCAGTTTCTGCCCTTCGGGGCATGTCAATGAGTTTGCATAAGTCGATCTTACTCCAAAACTCCGTGTTTAGCAAGCACTGGTGGGAGCAAGCAGAGCTGCCTGCCTGCCTGTGCTGCTCAGCTCACAAGCTCAGGTGAGCAGCCCCACGACTTGAGGAAACCCACTGATCTGCAGCAAATTAAGCAAGCCAGGAGCTGGATGAGACACAAATGCCAGCTCCTGTGATTCTCAAGCTGCTGATGGCTTCGAGGAGGTGCCCACACAGAGCCAGTGCTCCCAGGGGATGTGCCTCTCACCCGAAATCACTGTAAACACTCCAGAGGCTTCAGTGCAAGACCCTATGTGCTGTTCCAGCAAAGGAGGTGGTTGCATTCTTGATGCCGAGTCACAAACAAGGAAGTTAAAATGCAGTTTAGGGCGTGCCTGATGCCTGGTTATTACCTAGTTGACATTTAGTGCTCTTGGGTTCTATCTCAGTCATGCAAATTAAGGAATTACTCAACTAATAGCAGTCTAATGCTGAACGTGACCTCTCTGAGAGGGAGCTCCCAGCCCATGGCCGAGCTATGGGAACCCACCCGTACCCCTCGTCCTCATTTCCCAGCCCAGTTGGAGCCAGTGTGCCCAACCCAGCCCTCTCTCTCCTTTTGTTCAAGATGGGACTTTTTTCCTTCTCACCCACCTGTTTTTATTCTTGCCATTCAATGCAAATGTGAAAAGCAGAGCTCTTGCCCTCCAGGCAATTTATCTGAGCATAAAATTCTATTGTGTCCTTTCATTAGCGTGTTCCTTGTGGGTGAAGTGGCCTCTCTCCTGGCTATCATGCATTCAGGATGGCTATCAATATTTTATGAATCACTGGAAGTATTAACAGTACAAAAGTTTTGTTCATTATTCTGCCTCTAGCATCTTGTCAGCTTCCCATGGTGCTTACATGTGACTTTAACAATGCAGATGGCAGACCTTTCCACTAGGCCTTTGTCTGTTATAGGGAACCTCACACCAAAATTACCAGGGGGAAAAAATGCAGGAAAAGAAAAATGGCGAAAATGTCTTTGCAACACTCATGGCTGTTTTAGTAACACAAACTTCTTGTTAGTGATGAACCACTTAGCAGTTTTTATTCACTTCTTACCTTGAGGATGCTCTTCTTGACTGCAGTCAGAGTTTTGATTTAACAAAAACCACCTGAGAACACTAAAAGCCGGCCTCACACAGTACAGAAGATTTACTGCCTTTGCCACGCAATAGGAAGTGTATGCCAGATTCAGAAGGTGTTTGTTAGTTATTTAACCATCTGCAGTCACTACATAAGCTTACACTGTGTTATTTTGTGGTAGTGAGAGCTCTAGATTTCAGCCTCCTTTCTGCTACCTGCACCCTTGATGGAACAGTGATTTAGACAATAAAATTCCACATTAAAAGATAACTTTTATTTCTATAAGAGGAAGATATGCTGGCCTAGACACATCTGAGTATGCAAGCCCACTCCTGAGTCTTCCCCAGTATCTGTGAGGAAGAGCACTTGGAAATCCTAAAACTATTGGCAAAACAACAACCACCTCCGTTAAACCAGACACTAAACAGGTTAAAACCCATTTAGACCAACCATAATTGTGGTGCATATGGCTGGAAAAAGCAGAGGAACCCCAGGAGTACATCAGACACCCCACATGTGTGTTTGTGGGGTGAGGGAGGCAGGGTGTCACTGGGAGGAAAGTGCAGGAGTCACCTTATCTTCTCTGTCTTCCGCCACTGCTTTCTCCTTGAGGATCTCCAAAACCTCCCATGCAAGCCCAGTGGGCTTGCCATCCCGTCGATGCTTCAGTCTCTCCACCCCACATAGGTACTCATTGGGTTATGAACTGCTACCTCTGCCTCACCAAGACAGACCTAACAAAAGTATCTGGAGTGCGGGAAAAGCTATTTTTGCTGGTTTTTTCCTACTCCCATTTCCTAATTCTGTGCTTCCTCCCAGCTGAGGAGCTGCACTTCTGCCCAAGTGGATAGTGTCACAAATTAAAATGCTTACCCAAGACCTAATGATGGGGATTCTTTCCACTTTATAGGGTGGCATAAAACCAGTTGGCCTGGAATCTCAGAATTCTAGTTTCAGACAACACTTAAGATGATAAATAAGGACAGCAACTATCTTAATTTATTCTGTAATTATTTTAATTATTAATTACTGCCTTCTTTCTTGCCTATTATCAGGTCAAGGGGTGGGAGTGTTCCCCAGTCCTGAAGGCAGGCTCTGCCCCCAGCACGCTCTTATGACTCACCAGGTTCCTCTTTCTCTCTTTCCACACCTTTCACAAGAAGACTTCCTTGAAGCTCCATCTTTGCTTCTGAGGATACAGTAAGTAGGGTACTACACACACCTGAGCTGACTCATTTACGAGAGGATGTCTTGTTCCTTCTGCAGCATTCCCTCCGCAGATGGGTCTGGAGAATGAGAGGTCTAGCACTGCTAAAAGGGGTGGAAGGCATGGGGTATGACTGCTGAGTTAGCAAGTAAGTTTATCTTTTCAGGTGAAGTTCTTCAGAGGTCTTACATGAGTTTAAGAAAGGCTATGTAATGGTTTTCACATAAAATATTAGCTCCTTGCTGCTTTGGCCAAAGGTGACCATGTAAAACTAGGACCTGGTAAGGCAGTCCCTGGCTCAGGCTGTGCCCTAGGGTAGGCACTGCACAGCATTGTCACATTGCATCACGGTAAATGCCACAGCCCCACTGGCAACCAGTGGTGGCTCCTGGGCAGGGGCCAGTCCCAGCGATGCCAAGAGTCCCTGCCATTGTTTCCATAGGTGGGTATGCCGGATTCGTAAACAATTTTGCAGTGGAGGTGCACTACCGAACTGTGATGCAGGTAGAGGGAAGGGAAATCAGTCGGGAAGACAGGAGCACAGTTGAACATGTGGAGACAACAAAGCTGTATCATGGCATCACAGGTACATGGGAAATGGGGGACAGAGAGGGAGACGCTGGCTGAGGCACAAGCATTGGAAAGGCATGACAAGAAGCCAGGAAGAAGAAAAACTCAGGCAAGGAAACCAGTGCTTATTCACAGCAAGAATTTGCAGCAATGCAGCCTGTTTATATGTATTAGCTGGCAACACTGTGATGAAAAGCTCTGGGACACTGACCTCCAGTTTAGATCTCACAGCCCTTCTCTGCCTCCTCCTGTCACCCACAGGCAGGCATCTTCCTATTGCTGGTTTCAGCAGTCATAATAGTTGCTATTTTCTAAGACCAGAAGTATGTAGCAAATAATAGAATAAAACCCAAATCTCACAGAGGAAGGAGTTCAGGACCAGAGATTGTGCAAGTTAAGTATTGACTGTGACAAAGGCAAGTGAGGAAGGAGCATGCTCTGGGTGGAGAGAGGAATGACGTGTCAGAGGGAGATGGCTGCACATGGGACTCTTCTGTTTGGATACAAATCAGACCCTGGGTCCTCAAAGCTCAATTACTAACATCTTCACTAATTAAAAAATGAGATTGTAGCACCAAACTGCAGAAACAAAATAATCTCATCTTGCTGTATGAACAGCAAGCAACTCCAAGTGCCATAGCTAGAGAGGGTTACCAGAAATATGAGGTTTACTGGGATGACAGTATCCTCTGCCATATGAGCCCCTGGTATGCAGTCTCCAGCTTTGCCTCAGCTCTGCCCCTCTTACAGACAGGGCAGTGTATGGCAGAGGCAAAGCAGCCTCCTTTCCCAGTAGCAAGACTAAGCACTGAGCAAGGGGCTATTTACTGTAATACAAAGAGTAAATAGGACTTTTGCCCTTGAAAATGCATAAAATCTCAAACTGTGTCTCCCTCTGATTCTACATCTTCTATTTTTTTTTTTTTAAATCTGCTTCTATTTTCAGCTTGGAACATCGAGGAGTGCTGGGTTTTGGCTCCCTAAATAGGCATGGGGAAACTGCAGTGAGCTAGAAAGCTGAATTTTATCATTTGCTCGCTGAGGCTGAGAACACTTCAGCTTCATGTGTTGTGTTGTCAGTGTCTTACTGTTATCCTTTAACCTGACAGCAAAGAAACTTATGAGTCTGTATCTGTTCCTGATGAGGGAAATGCAAGGAGAGCAGGAAATACAGACTAATCATTTTACTTTGTAAGAGATCAAAAGCAAAATGTTTCCCTTTTTTTTTCTTGCATTTTCACAGTTTTCAGCTATTAATATAAACAATGTATGCATACTATATATATTTTTTAAAGTTAACACCAGGGCTGCCCTTTTGGTAACTGAGTAAAATGAGTGCAACTGAAGAGTTGTAGCATATCTTGTTGTCCTACAGGAATTTTTACATTACCCTGGTTATTTACAGATTGTAATAAAGAGGGACTGTTTTGGTGCTCTGAAAATGTGATTTGTTAGCACTTACACCCACTTCCAGAGATATAAACATCTATAAAGTGTGTAAATGTTCAGAATTACATTTACTGAGGTCAAACTAGTATTTTGTTGAAAGTTTTCAATTTCCTATCTCTAATCCAAAGGGGTTATATATAGATGAAATGTAAAATGGGTTCATACTTAAAAGGCCAACAAAAAGCAGCTTACCAGATTCTCTGTACGTATTAGTCCTAACTTCTCACAGGCATGAATGCATCATCACTATGACAGCAATAAAAAGTCTTGTGCAACCTCCTAGTCTCAAATTCAAACTATGCAGAATAAAGGAAGAGGGATCTGCACAAGCCTATCTTTTGCTGCTATTTTAATCATGTACCTCCTTATCTTGCCCCTCTGAAATACTGCAGCATTTCTAAAGAAGGCTGATGCCCACCTCTTGTGGAGATGGACTTTCCCATAAACTGGTCCTACAGCAGACTGAGAGCTGTAGCCACCTGCAAGCTCACCTCTGCAAAGACAAGGAATACTACAGTGTCATAAGGGGTTTTTAAGTGTTTCTGCTAATGCTATAGTAGCTATAGAAGATATTATATTTTGAAAATTTAATTTATCTACCTCAGCTGATCAGAGAAAATTGATTCTTGAAGATGCATTGATTGTGGCTAGACAAGGTTTGGGCTTTGTCTTTGATGGAATTTTGTCAAACAACTGGAAAAAAGTGCAGGAAAAAAGTGTGTATGTTGAAACACAAATAATGGAAATGCTTATAATTCAGAGGTAAGGAACAGAAGTAGTGAAAGTAAAAAAACGCAATTCTCATCTGAAATCCTGGAAGAGACAACAGCTGCAGAACAGTTACTTCAAGGTGTGGCTGTATCAAGTTTAAAGAGAGTGGCCCATAAGTGGATGAGGTTGAAGTAACATGAGATTACCAAAGCCTAGTCTTGTAACGTTGCTGTGGGATATCACGGGTGCTAAACCACTGCTGTTTACTCTGGCAGTGGATTAACAGCAGTTAAAGATTAACTGAAAGTCAGAAATCTCAGAAAATTATTAATAAAAAATGTGTAATAAATGCATTTCTGTCCAATATTTCTCATTCATACACAAAAATACTAAACACTAAATACAATAAACACAGTGAACATAAATGTAAACACTGTTTTCATACTTAGACAAGATAATGTATAGGGTGGCAAGCTGAGCTTCTCACATGGTATCAGGATTTTGTATGTTATTATGGTGTCCATACATGCATGTCATGCTGATGTAGGGGGAGAGGATGTTATGCAACTTGATGTAAATTTCAGCTGCACAGCACTTTATAGGACACAGCAGCCATCTAAACAATTTTAATTTCATCTTCTGCCTAAGCAATATTGATATTTTCTCTGTATGTTTATATTATACATGTTTTCTTACCCCTTTCAAATTATAGGCAAGAATTATTAGTGCTGCTACCAATAGGGTTGCTTCATGTTTTCAGTAACTTTAGACTCTGCCAGATATTAACTGTTCCTACCAAAATTTTCCAAACCTGAAGCAGAATAATTTGAAAAAGTTTCAGGTAATATTTTTTGCTCTTTCTCAGAATATGCTTTGATAAATAAGTTGTTTTTCTTGTGTTAAAGTTTAGGACTGTCAGGTTTTAAACTAGGGCTTAGAAATTTGGCTGAGATAGCATCAGTGGTGCGTATTTTGTCGCTGTTGTAAAGTTACCCAAATCACAGCAGGTTACAGTATCTAAAAAGAAGCATCAGTTTGCTGATGCAGAGTGGAGAGATACCAGTGCTTAGGTGTTGAATTCGAGCAGTCTCTCCTGCACCAGCTGGTCTCTATCAGGGAGAACCTCGCTAGGACTTTCTCACAGCTCTGAGTCTTGGGCCTGCAGCACCAGGTGCCAGACCTAAGAATAGTCTACATAGAATACCCTACATTAAAGGAACATGAACATTGCAAAATCTAGCTCTTATAGGCACAAAAAAAACAATGCAATATTGTCCACATAAATGGAATTTATATTCTGTGTGCCTTAATACAATGGTAAAAAAATATTTTTTTTTTTCAGTTGATTCCCAAAGGCTTCACAACTGAAACCAATGGCAATGAGAGAGAGATTTGATTAAAGAGATATGAAACAGGGCCAGAAACATTGGTGTATCTCCCATGCAAGACTGGCAGATTTTTTTGATCTTAATCTCAAGTATGCCCCTTTCTTATTGTTTTTTTTTTTCTCCCAAGAGGGAATTACACTCCACTACCATGTCTGAAAAGTGATGAACAGATACAGAAAAGCTGATGAGGAACTACTTCACATTTACAATTCTAACAGCGTGAAGGCACAGGACTATGCATGGAATCACAAGGAGGAAACAACTGACATCTCCCTAGGTACAAGTATAATCTAAATTATATGTCACGAATTCTGTATTTCCAAACTTTTCACTTTTTGAATTTGCTGTTTTACTTATGTTTAACATATATAATCTCACATAAGTTTCCCAGTTTCTTGACCACCTATGCCTCAGTACACAATGATGCAATTCAGAGTTTTTAAGATAGTGAGAACAAAGCTTAGGCAAATGTAGTGCTACCTAATATTACAATACTGAAATATGAAAACTCTTAAAATAGTCAACTCCTTTATAGAAAGCCATGGGAGGAAGAGTCACAAGACAAAACAAACCCACCTGATTTTGAACATTCCAGAGATGAGGAAGATCAGCTGGAGGAGGTCACAATTGCATCAGGGAATGATGATTCCAAGCACATTTCAATTTTTTGCTCTGTGTGTCAACCAATGATATATCCATACCACCTTCTTGATCATAAGAAAATGCACAAAGCCCTAACTTTGCTGGGCTTTGATAGCCCACAAAGACAGACTGACAACAAAACACTTATCTCAGAGACAGAAACTAATTTCAAAATTGACCAAGATTCCTAAATATTCCAAGACACACAGGCAGAAGATTGATTATTCATTTGAATTCCTTATGGATCATCACACTCCAACATCATATTGTGATCTTGCTAATATTAACAATCCTAGTACTTTTAAGAAAGCAAATAATCCTTTAATAAAAGCATTATCTGTTTGCCAAGATAAAAACTCCACGTGGCAGGGAGACATGGAAGACAGATTTATGGTGCTCGACAACTATGGCAACAGGCCAGATACGTGTTTTCTGGGGTTAGCTGATGGCTCTCACGGTGTGACGGCTGCAGACAGGGTTGCAGCAGAGCTTCCACTTTTATTTCTTGACCAGCTTGCTCAAGTGGATTCCTCCTACAAAAAGAGTAAGGACGAACAGCAAATTCTAGATTCTTTTGCCACAGTAATCAAGGCAGATTATAGGGAAAAAGAGAAGATTTTCTCTGATGAACCAGGCAATGATGAGTCCAGCATGACCAATACTTACAAATGGATTCACAAAGCATATGCCAAGTCCTTTTGGAGAATGGACAGACTTTTATGACTGGGAAGGAATGAGGTTTCCAAAGGTCGCTGGAGCGGCTGTTCAGCTGTTACCTGTTTGGTGGAAAGAATCCCCAGTGAAGAGGCAGACGGCACTGAGGAAGAAGAAAGGAAACATTTTGAAAACAACACACACAGCCCATTAGCCAGGACAGCCAAAGGTGCTGCTGGGTTACTGAACACTGCAAATATAGGTATGTACATTCCACACTAGGATTTTTTTTTTTTTCAAATCTGCTCAGTGAAAACTAAGCTAATCTAGAGACTTGTTGGCAGTAAATATTTGGAGATAAAAAGCTGTGATTGCTTTAAGTTAACAGTGTGGAGGAGACATGATAAATTCCCTTGCAACAGATATTTGTATCAGGCAATAAGTATTAAGCTTATCTAGTAAGTACCTTAAATATGATATTTTAGTTAAAGCAATAAAGTCAATTTACTAATGCAAAAAAACAGTTAAGAAGCATTCTATAATACACCAGTGATCTCTGTAAGAGTAGTAAGGACAATTTTTTATTTTTTATTTTAAATCAAGAGGAAGTTTAAGGTGTCATCGTTTTAGGGCAAACAATCATAAACCTTCTGATTTTAGATCTGCTAAAACCCTCATGTCAATGAAATGCACTTAAGATACTATTTTTATTCATTTCACTGACAAATGACACCACATTTTGCTACCAGCAAACTGAAAACATGATCCATGGGGATCACTTGAATTACTAATTTCTGAAACAGGAATTGGTTGTTATTTACTGTTGTTATAAAAGACCTATTCAGATCTGTTTCCTTATGAAGAACCCTGCTTTGCCTTTCTCTAGTGTAGCAAATCAGTTACTAATTACTCTCAGAAACACCAATACATTCCTAATGCTTCTTCATCCAGCTCTGCTGCAGGCAACACTAGACAAAGCTCTTGCAGATCTTAGCAACTCTACTCATTGTATCTTCCCACTTGGTGATTTTTGTTACCAGTTAAATCTGTGTACATAAGACAGCTGTAAGATTAGAAGCAGGACGCTTTCACATAAAGAAGTACACAAGCAGAATTATATAAAAAAAACAGTTAGGTAAACAGTTTCAAATGGATTTGTCTGCAGTTATATTCTTTAGTGTCTTTTAGTCTCTGCTTGAAGCACATGTCCAGCACCGTAATACTTTTCTATCGCTCCCACTAGCATTAGTAAGGAGTGTGCTAACACTGCAGCTTTCCATCAATGGGACAGTCTTTCCTGCTCAGATGAGTGTATTCACAAAACTCGTAAGACTTCTTAAAATTTCTTCATACGAAATTTGTTTGAAATTAATCAAGAGTCTAAG